GTGGCTTTTGCTTCTTAGTGCTGTGCTTTCACCCGCTGCGCCACCCGTTTCTCTAATTTTATAGAGCCACACCTGGGGGAGAATTATGGAAAAGGGCTGCAGATTTCAGCTAGGAACACTTAGAGCCCTTAGAGGAGCTATGATATTTAGATTTAGATGAAGAGACTTTGAATTTTGAGTTGACAGTGTAATGGGCTGTAGTGAATGACTTTGCATTTGGGAAGCCCATGAGTCCTTACAGGTCAGGGATGCCTCCCACTAATCACCTGGTATAATTGCCTCCTGGTGAGAGTGAAAAGGACCTGTGAATATGATCATTACGTCTGGTAGCTGATTATGTCAGCTACCAATATATTCTAGGCGTGAGTTCAAGAAAGGGGTGCTCTACTCGCTGACTCTGATCAAATCACATGAGGCGAGTTCTAAGTGAATTGATTGGATCTTGAAAACAAACAAGAAATATTTAATGCCTTTATGTAAGTACCTGATCTCTGGCCATTAATATATATATTCTTAAGCATTTGCCCTAATTATCCTGATTATCTCCACCTTCAAATTGGGGTCCCTGAGCTGAAATGCCTCTGAGCCTTCTGCTTCACCCATCAGCTTGGGGACTCCCAGTGGTGACTTGGGTACCTGGGCCTCAGAATCCCGGCACATGGTTTACAGGTTCCTTTTCCAGCATCGCGTGCATACCAGGTGGAGGGGGCTACCCGCCATGGAAGGAGGCCGTTTCCCGGGAGGCCTCGGGGCGGCCCCGCGAGGTCCGCTCCGCCCGGGACACTGACCGGCCAGATGAAGATCACCAGTACCTGGGACTCAGTCACACACTGGCTGGGGACCCGGGCGCTGGCCGTCACGGTTCTTTGGCTGCCATACCTGCTGCTGAGCACAGAGACAGCCTCCACCAGAAAGAGTGAGCGCCCAGGGAAAGCGACAGGGCTGGGTCGACAAGCCCTCCTGGGCCCTCCGTTAATACACCACCCTTTCTCCCGCCCATAGGTTGAGGACATCAGTCCAAATGGCCGACTTGGCTGGGGGTGGAGTTAGGTGGGTGGAGTTTACGGTAGGTGGGGGCTGGGATGGCTTCAGTGGAGGATAGAAGGGGTCCCACTACCCTGCTGGCTGAATCTCAGTGGCTCAATCTAGATGAGGTCCTGCATGGCCTGGGTGGTCTGCACCCACCCTCCCCACTCTGAGAAAGGAAAACACTTTCAGTGTTCTATTGGGCCTCAGTCTCCCTCCACTGTTGGACTGGGTGGGGGGGCAGAGATGTCCCCCATTAATCAGCAGTGACCTTGAGCAAACAGCATCCTTCTGCAAACCTTCCCTGTGAGACTTGAGACCACAGTTGTTAGTTAATAAAGTCTGCGTTGTGTCTGAGGCAACACCTTCTCAGACTGGAGGGTGTGCTAAACTGATGTGTGCCCTGAAGCTGCCATCCTTCCCCCCCACACCCCATCCCAGACACCCACAACTTCCTTCTTTAGTGCAGTCATCACCAGGGTCACATGGGCCGAGCCATCATTCCCAGGGCCCTGGATTTGCCAGTTGTGGAGTGAGAGGGGGTGCTATGGTGACCCTATATCCTGTTGATGGTGGCATTTGGAGCTACCAGCTGATGTCTATACAGGAGTGACTTTTACTGGGTTTGTTTACAGAGTGTGGGAAGCCTCTAGTAACTGGGAAGATCTACGGTGGCGAAGCTGCTCCTGCACTACGGTGGCCGTGGCAGGTCAGCCTGCTGTACAACAACAGATACATCTGTGGGGGCGCCCTCATCGATCATTTCTGGGTGGCCTCAGCGGCACACTGCTTCCAAATGTGCGTTCTCGCCCTCCAGCCCAGCTGCTGGGACGCTTGGGGGTGCAGGAGCACGCAGTGGGGTGGGCAGAGCGCAGGGGCAAGGGTTCCTGGCTAGAATGTGTCTGGGATCACCCTCCTGCGGCCTCCGGATGTGCCTATATGCAGCTGCCTTTGCCTTCAGCTCAGTAGTCGCCTCTAGCCTTCCTCCTCCTGCTTACCCCTGACTCCAGGCTGTAGATACTGAGTCCTAGCTCCTAGGATGAAAGCCATTTCCTGTCTCTCTCCCTCTGGGGATGGCCCTGTCTCCCCTCTCCACCCCGTCCCCCAACACCTACCAGAGTAGGTTTTACCACTTTGGTAATACCTGCTAAGATAGTGTGGTTGTCACAATTTTACTACATAACTTTTAAATAATGACGTGGAAACTCTAATTTTGATTATCAGTAAATACTAGAAAATAAAATCTAGTTCTACAGGAATGACTTGTAGTTCACTCTTTCTCTTGGCTAACCTAAGTGTCTAAATTCTGCCCCCACTCAAGATGGACTCTTTTTCACATTGCGCCCAATTCTGGACTTTTCCACAAGATGTCAGTGGATCTCAGTTTCTTTTGTTGAAGAGGTGATAGGCGTCTGGGTCACAGGCGTGGGCCAGAGCTGGTGCGGACAAGCATCCTGCCAGGCCATCTCAAAGCCATCCCCAGCACAACTACTAGAGGCTTCTCCCAAGCCTGTCACATTCACACTCTAGCACCTTCCTCTCAGGAAGACTTGGTCCGGGACTTTGTGTCTCAGCAGTCCCTGGCTCTTCCCATCACTCTGTACAACTATATACCTGAGTGGACCTGTGGTCACTGCTCCCCTCACCATCCTGCGTGAGGTGTTAAGCAGTGGGCTTCTGTCCTAGAAAATGGGAGACAGAATCATGAGAGCAGGCCATGCCTCAGGGCCACTCTGGGCTGGCTCTTTGCACAGACGGAGTGGGGAGAAGATCACAGCCCCCAGTCAGGAGGCCAGAGTGACTGGCAGCAGCTGACACTGAGACCCCACATGGGTTCTGTTCGTTTACTCAGTACCTATGGTTGCCCGGCCCATGTGAGGCCCCCTGTGGGGAATGAGATATGCAAAGACATACCCAGAAGCTTCTTGTCTTATCAGGAAAATGAGACACAAACTCAACTATTATGATCCAGGATGAAGAGGTCAGAATACAGGAGAGGGTAGGCCTGGGACTAGTGTCCAAGAGGGCCTCAGGGGAGACGGAGTCTGGGCTAAGGGCCAGCCGAAGCCAGCCCTAGCCCTGTGGATTGGAAAATATGTCTGGAAAGCACAGAGAAATCCAACTCCATGCACTCATCTATTCATTCCAGAGACTTTTGGGGGTGCCTCTTGCCAGCTAGGGACCAGACTTTTGAGAAGATGACCTGTGTTGACTGGGAAAGGAGGGGGGATCATTCTGGACTGGGAAATCTTTAAGATTCACTCTGGGCCATGGGACCTTCTAAGAGTTCTGATAAGAGCTGGTAATGAGCCAAATCACCTGTCCTCCAAAATGAAGGGGTACAGTTCTATGTGCCCCAGTGTTTCTTTCCAGCAGGCAAATTGCTCCTTTGATTCTGGAGCAGGCTGGGAAATTGGAAACTTTTTTATTTAAAGATTTATTTATTTAGGGTCCTCCCTGGTGGCGCAGCAGGTTAAAGCACAGCACTGAGAATCTAAAAGCCGCTTCCGCATGAGTTCGATTCCCGCCTGCCCCGGAGGTGACCACATGGTGTGGCAGACCTCTCCTGACCCGCCCGCTGCTCCCCTCAGCAGTGTACTTTCTCGATCTGCCTGTTCTGTTCCCCACTCTGTCTCTGGTGAAGCCTCTCACCGCCCCTGAGCCTCTGACCTGTACCCCAGTTCTGTATGCACAAATAAATAAATCTTTAAAAAAAAAAGATTTATTTATTTATTTATGCATACAAGAACTGGGGTGCAGACCAAAGGTGTGGGGGGATGAGAGAATTCACCAGAGACAGAGTGGGGAGCAGAACAGGCAGATGTACTGAAACACATTGCTGAGGGGAGCAGTGGGCGGGCCCCAAGAAGTCTGTCTCGCTACATGGGTCAGTTCCCTGGAGGGGATTGAACTCTTTTTTTTTTTTTTTTTTTTTTAAGATTTATTTATTCATATAGAACTGGGGTACAGGCCAGAGATGCAGAGGGTGAGAGGATTCACCAGGGACAGAGTGGGGAGCAGAACAGGCAGATCGATGAAGCACACTGCTGAGGGGAGCAGTGGGCGGGTCAGGAGAGGTCTGCCGAGCCATGTGCTCACTCACCTCCCGGGCAGGCGGGAATCGAACTCAAGCAGAAGTGGCTTTAGCTTCTTAGTGCTGTGCTTTAACCTGCTGCACCACCAGGGAGGGCCGGGGATTGAACTCTTAACATGCTACAGTGGCTGTGGATAGTTTCACAGTGCTGTTTTAACCTGTTGCACCAGCAGGGAGGGCCTGAAAATTGGAAACTTTTAAAGGACAGATGTCCTTTGGTTGTGAATGTCACTCTAACCCACCTTAAGAGAATATTAAGAAGGGAGGCAAGAGAAAGCTCTGGAATAATGACGGGACCTGGTGCTTATGCTGGGGTGGGGTGGGGGTGGGCTGCTGGGGCTTACCCTGTCAGGACAAAAGTGTTGGGCCAGCACTCAGGTTCTAACACTGCCTCCCTGCCATAGGTCCCGTAACCCATCTGACTACAAAGTCCTGCTCGGTTACCATCAGCTGCAAAAGCCCATGAAGCACAGCCAGCAGATGACAGTGTATAAAATCTTCGTCCACAGCGATTTTAACAGGACCTACTTTATGGGGAGCGACATCGCCCTCTTGCAACTGTCTTTGTCTGTGAATTTTAATTCCCACATCCTCCCCATCTGCCTCATGCACCCTGACAACACACTGCCCCCTCATTTGTCCTGCTGGATAACTGGCTGGGGGATGGTCACGGAGGATGGTGAGCATGGCCGGGAATGGCAGGAGGGTAAGGGCTTGGGGGGAGAGGGGGTGCAGTGGCCATTGTGGGCCCTTTTCACCCCAGAGAACATGTCCTTCTAAAGTGTTAAATTTCCTCCCATCACTGACTCTAAAAATCTAAGCATTTCTAGGATTTGGACTCAGGCACTTGGGCTCTTTGATGCTGAGCCTCTCAGGGTTCCCATCACTTTCTGTCCTGCCCTCCCAGAGCTTCACCCAACAGCTCTTGGGCTCGTGCTGTCTGGCAGGTGCTGGGGAAGCAGCAGTACGGAAATGAAGGCAGGCCTGGGAGGTGAAGTTGGGGGCTGTGGCTAAGGGCCACTTACCTATCTGAACCTCGCTTCCCTCATCCCTTAAGAAAAACTTGCCCATTCTGCCAGTTTGCAGAGCTCATCTATTTTTAGACTGAGAGAGAAGAAATGTTGGGCAAAGATTTTTACATAAGGATGGATGCTCTTGATGGATGCTTTAGGGAAACACAACATTCAGTGAAAAAAAGTCTAATGTAAATTTGGCATGAGTTGAAGAGCTGGGCAGGGGATCTCAGTGGAGACTGGCTGAGCAGGGCCCTCTGTTAGCTGCTAAATGCCAGTCATGTGAGAACAGTCAGCTCTCCTGCATGTCTCAGAACACCTCCTGGCATCTAGGGTCACTTGTCAGGACTGACAGACAGAGCAACGAAGCTACTCCAAGATGGGCCAGAAGGTAGGAATTGGGGTGTCAAGGGAGGCCAAGGGTTGAGCAGCCGCTAGGTCAGGAGCAGCTGACATCAACAGAAAGCTTGCTGCATGGCTGTTCCCCCTCTGGGCCCTCCCCCGGCAGCCATTGCTGGGTCAGGCCTGTCCCCAAGACACATAAGGGCCTTGCATGGCCATCTGGCCACAAGCGGGCCGTCTCTATGACACGAGGCTGCTGTGTGGGACACTGGATGGGATCTGGGAGCAGGATCTAGAAGTGACCCTCCTTGAGGTAGGGTCACATCTGTTTGTCATGCTGTCCAATCGCAGCTTAATTAGATCACTGCTACAACTCCAACTTTCTGTCCCTCTACTGCGTCTGCACACAGCAGCCGCATTATTTCCAGAGTAGACCCTTCGGTGGTTTCGCACGTGCTCAGAATCAAGCCCGGACTCCGCAGGCCAGTGGCGAAGTGGGCTGGCTCTGGTCCTGCTGAGCGAGCCATGTCTTTCTCACGCCCCCACACCATCACAGTCACACTGCCTTCCTTCCTGCTCTCCCCACCACAGACCGCTTGCCCTTGCTCTTATCTGTCCTGAATGTCTTGTCTCCCCTTCTTGCATGTCCTCTGAGAGGCTCCCCCATCCTGTAGCTGTAGTAGCACCATGCCACCCCTGCTCTGACCAGTAAGCAGGCAGGAGGGTCAATGACTCTCGCAGGCACCAGTGAACATCTGACACCTTCTCCCTGCAGATTACCTGCCCAAGCCCTACCATCTGCAGGAGGCAAGGGTGGGCATCATTGATTCCGACATCTGTAAGTCTTATTTCCAAATGCCCACTGCCGGTGGCCTGGATGTGCCTAAGGACGTGCTGTGTGCTGCGGACCTCTTGACAGGAAAGGCCATCTGCCGAGTAAGTGGTACCACTCTGTCTCTCCAGCGGGCACTCAGGCTGCTGCGCCTGCCCACGCACCTGTGGAATCTGTTGTTCTCTCTTCTCTTCTCGGCCTCTGACTTCCAGTTCCTGATCCCAACCTAGCTTGAAGTTGGAACCAGAGTTTAGACAACCCCAAAGAGTTTAGACAACCCCATTGTCTTATCTTTTAAGATGCTTTCTTGAGCTCACTGGCACATATAAAAAAGGGCATCCTTACCCATAGACCTGGGATGCAATTTTAGAAATTGACACACTCCTTGTCACCCCTGGCTCCTCTTCCAGACAAGGAAGAGGAGCCAGGGGTCCCTCAGTCTGATCCCACCCTCCAACAGCACTGGTAGGTAAGCTGAGGTGGGCCAGCCCAGGAACTGAAGGGATGGACAGAGGGCCCTGCCCCCAACCTGGGTAAGTACTCCTGAAACCCTCTGGTCAACATTAAAAAATAACTCCACAGACACAGACATGAGTGCAGGCAAGGAAGGAAAGGAGGGGAGCACCAGGCAGACAGCCCTAGGCCTGAGAGGCTCTCCAGAGTATTGGAGTTGGGGGCCTATGTCGGTTTTAGGATGGGGTTTGAGAACAAAGGAGTTAAACTTTATGGGCTGAGAAAGCACAGAGCATGCATGTGGCTGAAGTGCGCTTGTTAATTGTGGGCGCCCATCAGCTGCAGCTCGCAGTCGGGCAGGACATCTCAGGGAGGCATTGCCCACAGGTCCGGTCTGGTCTCAAGTCCCTGCTTCTTCGACAGGCTAACTTGGTGAACTCTAGGAACCAGAGGCAGGGTTAAGGACATTTATGGTGCAGGTGTGGGGGCCTAAAGTCACCAGGATTTTTTTAAACCTCTTGTTCACCAGTCCCTGGGAGCAAGAAAAAATAGCCCTTGAGTCCTGATCTGTCCTTATCCTGGGACCCTTCCAGTGTCAGGGTAACCAGCACCCCCAAAGGGACCTCCTCATGTTCCTTGCCCCCAGTAATGCCTCATTCTGCCTTGTAGCCTTCTGTGAGCTGCTGCTGGGAGAGAGTATACATGGAATAATGTATCGGTACGATGCTCATGCAATCTCTGTTTAGTGTTTGTGAGATTCATTCACCCTGGGTGTGGTTCATAGTGTTTATTGTATTGCTATGTAGTATTCTGCAGTGTGAAGATATGACAATTTTATGTGTCCATACTCATTGGGGTAGCTCCCGCTTGCAAACATCACAAAGCTGTCTGTGACATTTGTGCATTTCACACCCAGAGATGTCACAGACAGCTTTGTGATGTTTGCAAGCGGGAGCTACCCCAATGTGACCCCAATGAGAATGGATACATAAAATTGTGGTTGGCTATAACCCAGGACTGTACCACAGATAGGTACATGTTCATCTCTGATAGAAACTGGAGAGCAAATCTCAGCCTTCTCAAAACAGTTTGCACCCTTCCTTCAGCAGAGAGTGAGATTGGGGCTCAGGGTGGTCCTTGGTACCTGTGATACTTTGTCTGACCC